CGTTCAGGGCGAACCTCACATGTAACAGGCTTGTCAATTTTTTTTGTCATCTCTAAACAATCCTTACCCGAGGGCCATTCGAGGAGTCATGTACAATAGAGTCGAGGCAGGAAAAATGAATTTAAAATTTTCATTAGTAGTTAAAAATGAATTGTTACAGATATTTATGCTATGGAACAATTGATACAAAGTGATACCCAATTTAGTGGTGATAAGATACAAAGTGAGAAATTGAGCTAGTTGCTATGAATATTACGACCGAGATAATGGACAAAATAAAAATAACAATCACAAGAACACAAGATTTACGTAAAATTTCAAGATAAAAAGATGAATAATTCACTATATCAAAAGTAAAAAGTTACAATATGTTATGCTGGATCTCATCACAACTTTTTCTTGTCTCTCTATTTGCGACTCTCTCTATTAATCTGAATCACTATTTGAGTACATATTTATGATACAAGAATTCATAACATATGGTAGGAGAATTATACAAACAAGAGTCTAACACAATGTGAAATCATATTACAAGTAGATAAAATCAATAATGGAGTATTTGAGTTGGAATAGGAGAGAAAACTGCCAAAATCGAAATACCTACTCATTATCTCTTTTACTTATTCAAAACTTTTCTAATGCAAACAACCAATTCCAAATATACTTCCAAGATAGAATTCGGGTCCAATAGCATATATACACTGAAGAGAGAAACACTTGCTCCTTTCTTTCTTCACTATCATTATGACATAAACTACAAAAGGTCACAATTATTGCATTTCATTTTTACATCGCACATCTTATCAAGCCACAGTTTCGCACATCATTGATACAGATTATTTCGCTTGTAAATAATATAAATATGACAATAACTTTATTGTGTAAAAGAAATTTTCTAAACAGACCGGGCATACGCAACCTTGTGTAAAATCAATGGTCACATATTAACTTGCCCCCCGGGCACAGCTCAACTAGTGGATCAATCAACATTGGCTTGCTTCCAGCGGCAGGGTGGAGAGTTCGATTCCTGGTGGGAACCTGTGGCCAAATATTTGGTATGGAGCAATCACTGTGGAGAAGGGTCTCTTGTGCGCAGAAGTGTACAGTTAATGAGGGGAATCTGTGATCCAGTTGAGGCATAATCCGCAATTTACCCCTTCCAAGGTTCTAGGGGCATGAGTCTTGAAAGTCCAGAATTTAGTCTGGTATAAGCTGGGATATCTAGAATTCCAAACCCCTTCCTACAATGACGTGTAGAACGATGGTTGTGAACTAGTGTAACATGTAAATGATGTTTATGATCGAAAAACACGTGGAGGAAATTATGAATCCATGAAATTGTAATTTATTCTTTCCTTATTCTCAAAGAAGTTAAAATGAGGGAGATAGTAACTGCAGACATAGCTTTAGGTATGTAATATGATCAGACAGAAAAAATAATTATCCTTTAATAACCATCAATTTTTTTGATATTTGAAAGAGAAAAATCAATTATTTCTAAAACTTTGAGATTCTGGAAATATAATCTTAAAATATGATAGTTACGATTTTTTCCCCTTTAAGATATCAAGATGTACATTTGACCAATAAAATGAAAAAAATACGATTGTGTCATCATTATCTTTAAAAAGCAATAGGCCCTTTGCATTAAAACGAAGCCTATGCTAATTTGAACACGATTAAGCATCGCCTTAACAAATTTTATTACGTATTTTTCTTTCTTGATCTTATTTAATTATGTCTAATTTAACGTGTCAAACACGACTAAGCATGGACCTTTACTAATTTTATTATGTACTTCTCTTTCTTTTTCATGTAAAATATATTTGAAGTTGAATAATTTAATGGCTGAAATGAATTCCTAAGACTCACAATATAAAAATTAGTTACTTGACATTAATATATGCTGGCCTTATTTTACCAATATTTTTAGGTAAATGCTCTCAAAAGCTTTGCAGTCACTTTTATTCAAATGAAACAAAAAATGGCATTATCGCTTTCAAAAAGAAAAAGAGGGGAAAGGGGAAAAGAACATGAAAAAGCATATATTTGTTGCACCTTGAGACATTCTTTCATCACTGTGTTTGGACAATGAGGAAAAGAAAAGAAGAAATGGAAGTCGGATATTTCTTAGTTTCGATAACTTGTGCACCACATCGTCTAAAAGCCTAGACATAAAACAAGAAATGGCAGTTGGATATTTCTTAGTTTCGATAACTTGTGTTCCACATCGTCAAAAAGTCTAGACATGAAAGAAGAAATGGAAGTTGAATATTTCTTAGTTTCGATAACTTGTGTTCCACATCGTCAAAAAGTCTAGACACGAAACAAGAAATGGAAGTTGAATATTTCTTAGTTTCGATAACTTGTGTTCCACATCATCTAAAAGCCTAGACATAAAACAAGTGTTCCAAGAGAAGACCCAAAAGATCGACACCAAGGAAAAATTACAGAACCAAGACCAAGTAATCATCGATTGGGCTCGGATCAACCATTGTACCCGTCTATACAAGGTGATTAACTTACAAAACCACAGTCCCAAACTTGGCCCAGAGTCAGTCACTACAATGGACCCAAGTCTCTCACAAAACCACAGAAAATCCCTTTCAAAACCAACACCGAAGAATCACCAAGAATCCTCACACATAAAACAGCCAGAAAACCAGAAGTTTTGAGGCTAAAAAAGAGGTTTCACAAAGAAGAAGAAAAGGGCAGAGACACACAATCACGAGAGAGAGAGACTCAAAAGCTTCTCGAGGAAGCACACAAAGAGGCACAAAAATAATGACATGGTTAGGGCAAAAGTCTCAGAACAAGAATATATATATAAATTGGTCATCACCGTGGATTCTAGGTTTAGGAGATCTAATGGTCCAGAGCGACACACATAAGTCACAAGACTTGGGCCGGGTTAAGGAGCCCATCACCAATGCGTTATTGGGCAAGGGCTAAGTAGTATCTGAAATAATTTGGATCACTTATCATCATCGCCCAAATGGACCAAAAAAACACCAAAAGTAATTTTGGCATCATAGCCCAATAACAAGAAATGAAAGTTGAATATTTCTTAATTCCGATAACTTGTGTTCCACATCGTCTAAAAGCCTAGACATAAAACAAGAAATAGAAGTTGGACTTTCTTATATTTTGCGATTTCTGTTATTACATCAACTACAAGCTTAGACAATCATACCAAATTCAATTTTCCATCAGCAATCTATCACATGTATTAATTATAATTGAGTAGTTAAACTTGAATCCAACATCTTATTTTCCTGTCTTCACTTCCACTCTAACCAAACAAACCATTATAATTAGATAAAGTTTGATTGCTTAAAATTAATTTTAAATTAGATGCCACTGAAATAAAACCACAAGCTTTTCATTCACTAAACACGTGTCATTTTCTAGCTAAAATAAATTTAATTTACGCTAAGTTCGTGACCTTGTATGCACTTTTACTGGCTGGATAAGGGTAAAATCACTATTAAATAATAAATAATATAAAATCATTTTCTTAGAGGTCATAGGTTTCTCCGAAGGTGATAGATTCTAAGTTGACAATGATACACAACTTTTATTTATAGTCGACTATATTAATTGGTTTTAGTATTGAATATATTAATTGACATAAGAATGTGCAGAGTTGTGGAAATCAGAAGAGATAAAAGTATTTAATTGAATAATTTCAATTAGAATCATATTTATTTTTCTGAAAATTGAAGAGAGAGAGAGAGAGAGAATAATGTTTTGAAATTTTGGGCCAACTCTTAAAGGTTGAACCCCAACCTTGAGGAACCCCATCGTTCTGCCCCTAAAATTTTGTGAGGGAGGTAAATCACGGGATATGTCTCAAAAGGTCAGGGAACAAGAGCTGTATGTACATTGCGCCTACAAAAAATCCAATTTCATGTCTCAGGAATCGAACCCTCACACTGTGACTGCTAGCAAAGCGTGAGATAATTTCACTCCTATCCTTTGCACCACTGGACTATGCCCCGAGGACACCAACTCTTAAAGAATAAGCCTTGTGGTCTACAATGACATAAAGAGGTTCCACTGCTCAATATTTTATGAGAAATAGTATATGCTACCGAGTTCAATTATTTAATTGATTGTGAGGATTAATATTTTTTTTATTGTTAGATATAAGAGCATAATTTTAAGCAAATTAAAGAAAATATAATTAGTAACGTTTAAAAAGAAAAGTTAATATGAAGAGTTCAATAATGGCATAAAAAACGGACTGTAAAATCGTGGGACTGTTTCATTTTTATTTTTTTTTTCATATTTTTATTGGATTTCACGGAACAGTATTGTCTTTTTTTTTAAAAAAAATGGAATACTAAAATAAAATATCATTTACAAAACTAAGAATTCTTAGGATTCTAACGTTGCCCTTTGTTTCGTAAAAATGTGACAAGGTCAAAATATCAATGAAGGAACTAATTTTGCTACTTCTATTGATGAATGAGACGTGATTTTTTATTTATTTTTTATTTTAAAATGAAATTGGATATCTATTCTATGACAAAAAAGTCCGTCTATGATAATCCTTCCAACTGAGAATTATAAACCTTAATTTTATTCTACCAAGAACAATCAATTTGAAAAAAGAAAAATGAACACGCAAAATTTATAGAGGTTCGCTTCAATATGAGACTATATCTTCTCCCACCGTTGTAGTAACTCACCGCAAAGGTCGATTAGCAACTAGATCCGTGCAGTGGCAATGATTAGGATCGACAATAATTAAGTTTCACAACTTGACACCTTACACAATCTCCCATGAAAAAAAAGGCGTAAGAAAATTGGACTGCCTCCACAAAATTATAAGTAAAATTCATATTATGGTTGAGAAATGTCATCCACCTGAATTAACTTTTAACATGCATGAATGTAATGAACTGTGTAAATGGAGGCTACCAGCATAAAGAGTCCAATATTAATCCAACTGGTATATACTGTATACATATACAGATATAGAGAGAGAGGAGAAAAAAGACAAAAATGAGAACAAGAAGGCGATCAACAAGGTGCCAGTGAACGTTATATACAAGGTCCCTTTTACCCTATATGTATGATCAAGCCAAACCCTCCTTTCACGCATTAACATTTCCATCCTAAAGAGTCTCTAGTTAGCTTCTTACTCCCAAGCTCCACCCATGGTATGTATTTCTAACACCTCCCACCCTCACATGGAATTCATATCGTCTAGAGTACGATCTGTTTGCATAATAGTGGATTGAGTAGGAGGACAGTGGGGTCAGCTTCCCCCATACAGTACTAAATTTCAAATCCAAGATTTTGCACAAAATTTTCAAAATATTCCTTATAGTTATCGATTTTGCCAAATTAAAATTTTGTACTTCAAGAATTTGCTCTCACGATTTTTGTTATAGAAATTTGCCCCTACAACTCTACGATACTAGTTCCACCCCTGCGTATGCATGTAAAATGAACAGAATTTTAACTTTTCCTTTCTGTTTTAATAGTTTCGAGTATTATTCGGTTTACAGAATATGCCACTGATGTATTATGTCATGCAAACAGGCGGAGGAAGCTAAGCTGGAGTACAACACACTAAACGTATGGAAAGTACAAGGGAAAGGAGGATTCAGAGCAACTTCTTTCATTTACGGTATAACCGAGAACTTGTACTGAATAGTATAAAACTGGTCTTTGTTATCCAATCCTCTTAACCGAACATGTAGGCAACGATTTTTTGACTACATATTTTGTACGTATAAAGGTATGGTGGCATTGGAGAACATGGGTTTTGTTGCAAACATGGTGAGTTTGGTGCTGTATTTCTGGCTCAAGCTGCACTTTGAGCTATCTGATGCTGCTAATACTCTCACAAACTTAATGGGATCAGCTTTCTTGCTCTCTGTTATTGGTGGCTTCATTTCGGACACTTATATAAACAGATTCCACACATGTCTGATTTTCGGGACGGTAGAAATATTGGTTAGTTTCTTTCCCTTGTTCCCCCTCAAAATTTACTTTCTGCCTGCACTTTCTTTCATAGTTAGTCCCAAATCCAGATAAACATGTATTTCTTTAGGCTCTAGTGTTGATGACCATTCAAGCTCATGACGAAAAGTTGCAACCAGTACCTCGTGGCAAGTCGAGTGGCATGACAGGTAGACCAGCAGTCATGTTCTATGCCTCCCTGTGTTTGTTGGCACTGGGATCAGGTGGGGTTAGGGGGGCTCTTCCGGCACTTGGTGCGGATCAATTTGATAAGAAGGACCCAAAGGAAGCCAAGGGTCTTGCAAGTTATTTCAATTGGCTATTGCTCGGTTCGGTGAGTGGCGCATTAATTGGAGTCACTGTCATAGTTTACATTAGCACAAACAAGAACAACAATAACTGGTGGAAGGGTTTTCTCATAACTCTTGTGAGTACGGTTGTTGGTTTTATCATTCTTGCAATCGGGAAACCATTCTACCGCATTCAAGTCCCCGGAGAAAGCCCTCTAGTAAGAATCGCACAGGTATTCATCTCCTCTCAGTCACACGCGAATGCACACATTGTGCTTATTTTCAGTATTCAAGTTTTAATGCTGACTGCACCATCCTGCAATAGAATTAGTGGTGTCAATTGAGCCGAGCCAGGCCAGGTCTAGTTCGGAAAGGCTCACGGTGGCCTGATTGTGTGCCTGTGCCGTGTCCACTTTGACAAGATTAACTCCTATGCATCGGACAGACTTGACATGACAGCATAAAAATTTTCATTTATGGTCATGACTTGTCTATTTTATTACAATTTAAGATTTTAACAAAATCAGAAAAATGGTTCTCAGGTTATTGTCGTGGCAATAAAAAATAGAAAGTTGCCACCTCCAGAGAGCCCCAGTGAATTGTATGAGATTAATGAGAAAGAATCAGCTTCCACGGATGACAAGATTGCCCATACTGAACAATTTAGGTACTGTTTTTTTTTCTTTGAACTTATTATTGATGAAAATGGTAATCTCCTTCTTGGAGAACCTTCCAACTCACCTGGATTTAACTCATCATAGTGGCATTGACATGAGTCAGGCGCCATTATAGCCTACAAAGCAGAACTAAGCAAAATGATCTTCTAACAGCATGTTTGTTAAGTATTATGAACATGATTTTTGTTTTTTATTTAACACTGTCAAATTCTACGTAGTAATGTGTAAAAAACAGACACTTAGGGTGTATTTCGTACACCGTATTTGATTAGGGGATGGGATTAGGAGGACAAAATTAGGGGGGTTGTATTGAGGTGGATGAGGTTGCAATATGAACATGAGTATTGAAAATAAATTTTTTATGACAATAAGCTAAATACAAGTAAAGTTACTAGATTTAGTTAGCCATTATCCGGTCTAATAATCTACTGCAGTTGTAAACCTTTGATATAATTTGAAAGCATGCAACTTAAAACATCAAGATATTGAGTAAACTGGACCAGAATCATACAGATTACGTACCTTAATAAATTCTATAATTTGCTAATGGCTGCTGATTCCTTGATATCACTGCCTGATCCAGGTCCCTTGACAAAGCCGCAATTCTTCCAAAAGATGCCGAGCCCTTGCCATGGAAGGTCTGCACAGTGACACAGGTTGAAGAAGTTAAGGTTCTGACAAGAATGTTACCAATCATAGCCAGCACAATTATAATGAATACATGTCTGGCACAACTCCAAACGTTCTCAGTGCAGCAAGGTAACGCAATGAACAGATATCTCGGATCATTTGAAGTCCCTGCTGCATCAATTCCTTTCATCCCCCTACTCTTCATGATCATCCTTATCCCCGTCTATGAACTTACTTTTGTGCCATTTGCGCGCAAAATTACCAAGCATCCAACAGGGATTTCTCAACTACAACGCATAGGGGTCGGTTTGGTCCTTTCAGCCATTTCCATGGCAGTTGCAGCCATTGTGGAAGTAAAGAGAAAGCAAAAGTCCTTGAAGAATCCGTTGAAGGATCCGTCAAAGGATATTAGTCTTTTTTGGCTATCGTTTCAGTATGGCATTTTTGGGATAGCCGATATGTTCACTTTAGTCGGACTGTTGGAATTTTTCTACAAGGAAGCCCCTTCAGGCATGAGATCTCTTTCGACCTCGTTTACATGGATTTCACTATCATTTGGCTACTTCTTGAGCACTATATTTGTTGACACCATTAATGCTGTGACCAAGAAAATTACACCTAGCAAACAAGGGTGGTTGCAGGGGTACTTGGACGAGAACAACTTGAATCTCTTCTACTGGTTTCTGGCCATTCTTAGTGTCCTCAACTTCTTTAACTATCTCTATTGGGCAACGTGGTACAAGTACAAACCAGAAGATACAAATGTTTCTACCATGGCCAAATCGGTATCAATAAGTGGTGTACCATTCCTCAACACAGCTGCTGAACATACCGAAGAAACCGACAGGCAAAACGCTGAACACACTGAAGAAACTGACAGGAAAGATTGACAAATTGGTGATATCCAAATTACATGAACTAGAAGGCTCCATACTGCTCAGATATAGTTCGCACAGGATAAATGGTTGTCCCTTTTGTGTATCTGGATTTGGTTTGTTTTGAATATGTTCTTCCTTTTTTTTTTTTTCATAAGATGGTTGGAATTCATATTAATGTTAAGTTACAATTAATAAGACTGTAAAATATTTTGAGTTCTTGAGTAAATTCTATGGATTTTTGAAATTCAAAATGGTTTGTGTGGCAGTCATTAGTTTGAATCAAAATAGTTAGCCTATGTTTCAATTTATCTAACACTTCCAATTGAAAAGGACCAAACGGGTGATTGGTGTGAGAATTAATGGTAGATCATTGTGATAACATGAGTTATTTTATTTATCAAATACCTCTAATATATAGAGGTATTTAATAGGACTACAAGAAGTAAAGATAAACATAAACTCCTACTACAAGAATTAGAGATAAACATAAACTCCTAACAATTTGATTTTATCCACATCCTAAGAGAGGATAAAGAACCCTATAAAAATAGAAAAGTTATCTAATGATAAACAAATAAACATAATCAAGAAGATAACCATAAAAAGTAAAACTCTTAACACTCTTCGGGTCAACAATCCCCTCAAGTTGGGGCATAAATGTCGATCTGCTTGTCAAGTAGACTCTCAAAGACAGGTTTCGCCAAGCCCTTGGTCAACATATCAGGAACTTCTTGTGTCATTGGAACATCAGCCATATAAATTACACCACTCTCAATCTTCTCTTTCAAATAATGTTTGTCGACTTCAACATGCTTTGTCCGTTCATGATGAATCGGATTATGAGCAATACTAATCACAGCTTTATTATCACAAAATAATCTTACGGGGTCTAAATTTTGAAGATTCAATTCTTGAATAAATCTTCTAAGCCAAATCAATTCACAAGTCCCATTTGCTAAGGCACGAAACTCAACTTCTGCACTACTTTTAGCTACCACACTGCCTACAATAGGCAGAGCACAGAGCTACTCTACAAGTTGCCTTTGCAGCAAGGTTGCAAGCAGCTATATTCTCTAAAAAAACTAAAAAAAATGAGCCGGTTCGGGTCGATAAGGTTCGAGCCTAGATTTTTTGGCCGAACAAAAGTTTGGCTCGGAAAAGCTCGACCCCTTTTTACTTGAGCCTCAAGTTTCAGCTCACGAGCCGCTCGGCTCAGTTCGTTAACATTCCTACATGAGTCACTAAATTTTGAAGGGTCTGATTCGAGAGGGTATGAAGGGAATAGGAGTTAAGAGCAAACTCATCTTTGAGAGTCTAAGTTTCATTATGACACGTCCCGTCCCGAATAGCCCTAATAGATTAGGAACGTGACGTGCGCCGATGATAGATGCTGACTAGATGTCAGATCTACCACCAAAGCTGACTATGACTTACCACAAAATATGCGCCAAAATCAAATGCTATGTAAAATATAATGAGATGAGCCCAAGTTATTTACTTTATGCCTCATCAATATGAGTTTATAATACTTAACATGTCGTGTGACTCTTATTTCAAAATCATTAGGCTCTTCCAACTAAAAGAATCAGTTGCTACATGTAAGAAAATTACGGAAAAATATATGAGTTTATAGCTAAGTGAGTGGAAGAGTTCGAAAATAATTATATTTTCTCTTTTAAACATTTTTACCAAACATTCAGTTCATATCGTTTAATATTCACATGATAGACTCATACAATTATAGCAAAAAGTAAGTCATTCTTATAACATGTAAATATCATCTCGTAATCACAATATAGTCATCAGCTGATATCTATACCATCATCTCATCACATCACATGTGATCTACCAAAAATGTACCCTCTGACTAAAATCTGTAATTCGCTCCTCGGGCTAAGCACTTTCGTCACGAGCCTTTGATCCCCTCCGTAAACGAAAGTTGGTCTTAAATACCTCTGGTAATCAATTCTAGAACACGGTCAAGACCACCCCTCTGTGAACTATATGTAAACGGTCGAGACCAATATCTGGTCAAGACCCTCTGTGTAGGATAGAACACGGCCAAAGCCCCTCTGTGAACTAGAAGAAGTACATAATCACAGGTACTTTTCTGGTCGATCTTAATATCACGTCTCACATACCAAACAAATCTCAATATCACATGTCTCATATACCAAGTCACAAACGTATAATAAATCATCCTTGAAATTTCACATGTATCATAATAAAAGAGATTTCCATAATAATCATATAATCGAACACATAATTGCACATATTTTGATAATATACTTAATTTATAAATACTTAAAAATATTTATATTTTTCCACTCACAGTATTATGTTCGCAAAATCAACACAGTTGGTAAGTTGTTCTGATGTCAGTATCTTTGCCTGAAATACGATATAATTTTTAAATAAACAATAATTATTTTAAATAATTCAATAATTAAATAAGTGATACTCAAACTTAATCATTTCACATTTATGTGATTTCTACAGTCTCTTTAATAACTAAAATTAGTTTTTCTTTCACTTTATTCAATTTCATAGTTTATCATACTTAATCCCTTCAATAAAATTGAATTTAGTCTAAAACTCTAACAACTATAAAATTAAACATAACTTGACAATTAGTAACTTTTTACTTACCTTTAAATTGAAAAATTCAAGTTTACTAGTAGGAAGCATTTATTTTCTAACAATATAGGCAAACTTTCCTTTTTTTTCTTCTTCTTCTTCTTCCCCATTTTTTTCCTTCCTTTTTCTCTTTCTTTTCTTCCTGCTTCTGGTTCCTCTGTGTGTGTTGTGTGTGGTTATATGTGTTTTTTAATGGATTTGGATTGTAGGTGGATTGATATACAATTGTTTTTAATTTTATTTTTTTTAACATGTTTGACTTTTTTTTTATTATTAAATTAATGTATTACAAAACTCACCCCCTTAAAAGAATTGCATCCTCGAAATTCAATTAGCTAGAGGTCCAACACGTAAGGATATAGAATTCACATTTAACTTCCGCTACTCATAATACCTCTTTTATTAAATGATTTCTCCAACAAGCTTTTAGTGCCAAAATTTAATCTTTCCCATCATAACTTCTTAAGAGCCAATATATGGTATTCTAATTTTTTCACTTTTTCCAAATCTTAGGAAAACTCAATTATTTTCCAATTTGAAGTTCAAGATACTATTCATATTCTCCAAAACTTCGTCTCACGTCTTGATTTGAACAATTCTCTAATCAAATCTTCTTCTTCCTATTTTTTTTGCATAGCAATGGTTACATACTAAAATTGAATAGCATTCTTTCACCAATTTCATCACAATAAATATGTCCTTAGAATATTTCAATATCATATATAACCTCAATTATCGTCATTTGTGTCTAGTTCTTATAAGTCAATTCCATGAAGAGTAGATAATCATCCAAGTCCTCTTTAATTAACAAACTAGTTGATAGCCTCTCTCTTGAACTTATCTTCATAATGTCTGATATTCTATCAAAAGAAAATGCATAGTAAAATTTAATTATATAACTTCTTACAACTAACTAAAGATAAATACTCCAATTCCACCATGTAATTAGCAATATTGTCTAAATATAATTTTATAAGTCTATCCTATGAACTGACTATATCATTTAAAAAGAATCTTGTAACATTTATCAATCTATTCACAATGATTTAAATACTATTTTGTCTCCATTTCGTATATTTGGAATCCCCAAACGAAAAATTTGAGGGTAACTACCTCCATTCTAAATTGACAATATCTCCAAAAATTCAATTGTTTATGATTTTCTAAAATTCTAGTTATCCCCAATAAAACAATTGAGATAGCTTAATATGATGTTCTTTTCCTTTAATTCTATATCATTTAATAATAATATATACACAATTTCCATTTCCACAATTTCTAATAAAATATACCTTAAAACTCTAATGATTGATAAGTATTGATATTTCTCGCAATGTGATGACATAATCCCAATAAAACCAACTCCAAATCATGTTTTAATCATGTCTCTTCAACAATCTATCATATAATTCATAATTCATCATTTTACTTCAGAATACTTTCTAACCTTAAAATAATCCATTATTATAAATCATTATCATGAATCAATCACTCATCATCTTTAAATATAAGAGCAAATATTTTCTCAAAATTTTCTAATCACAAAACTTTTAACATTTCTATACCCATACAAATTTTGTTCTTTCTTTCTATAAAGAGACAATAATAACATTTAATCCATGAAAATCTATACTTTTATTCCATAAATAGGTTATTGATCTATCATCAATGCATAATCTTTTCTGTATATTGCATAAAGACCTTCAATTAAGATTATAACCTAAAGATACCGTTCCACAATTAAATAAAATTTATATGATGATCGTCTTACACTTTAAGCTATCTAACATATCATCATTTATTCCATAACGTGTAGATTTCGAGAAGAACGAAATACTTTATTCATGATCTATACAATTGAAAATAGCCTCGAAATTACATCACTAGAATTTCAATAAATTTATCTTAACTTCAAAATTTAACTCAACGCTTCCAAATTGTATGGAATATAACACAATAATCCAACAAATGGCCTTAACAAAATTAATTAACTTAATAACACAAATCTATCATCACATTATTTGACTATAGGACAACTATTATATTCATTTACATGCTATCCACCATATCATGTTATGATCATGTAACCTTGGCATTTATCGTCATATCGTATCACCTAAAATATTTAATTATGTCAATTTTTTTTTTAATATCACAAGATAATAACCTTCATATTTATCACATAAACATTTCACACATCAATATACCGTATGTTAATTTCCCAATTTCATTAAATTTCAACTTTGCCATTCTCTATTTTTTTTTATTTACATAAACATACCTAAATGCACATATCCATTTAATTATATTTCTAAAGTAGCAAATCACCCCATAAAAAATAATCATTATGAAGTTCATCCAGATTATTCTCACATTCCTTATAATCAAACAACTCGTAAATAATCAAAATAATTGGAAATACCATTAATTTCCTCGATGCCTAAAATATATAATAACACATTGTCATCTATCAATTAACAAATCATCATTTTGTCTTCCACAATTTTTTATCATATATCATAAATATACACCATCATGATTTCCATTATCATCCCATATAAGTGGCCACAAATCACCACAAAATTTGATAACACTAAAGACCATTTT